GGTTTTAGTCCAAGTTCCACCACTAATTAGATGACCTTGAACATGCCACTTCACTCTCTGGTCATTAATTTCTCATCTGGAAGATGAGACTTTACAACTTTTGAAATCCCAGGTAAGATTTTTTTCCTCTTGCCCAAAGTAAACATTAAGTTTTTCCTTAAAAATTAAGAGAAATCCTGAGACCTTTGGTAACTCACTTAACTTTAATGAACTTCAGTGCAATCATCTATAAAACAAAGATAAAACAGCCCACCACATCAAAGGACTGTGTAAAGGTCAAATGAGAAAATCCTGATAAAAATGCACAAATAATTCTAAAATCCTGATAAAAATGCAAGGCATTATAGTTAGTGGAAATGTAAGCAGGCACATTATTTGTTGTTCAGTTAGGAGAGTGAGCTATCCTAGCCAAGCAAAGTGGATCCTTGAATGACCACTGTTCTATAGCCACAGGTTGTGCCTCGTCTCTTGTGTACAAACACCCACAATGTGACCACAAAGTAAAGTAACTATCCCAGAAGGACTACACAACACAGAGATCTAAATGTATGCCTGGTTATGGTTTCTAAAATGTTCTTGAATTTTCAAAACCACTCTGTATTAAAATCAATAAACTCCTCATATTTTGATAATAATTTAAAGGGCATATTTTAGCATGAAAGGGACTCCATAAGAAATAATCTGATTACAAAGACATAGCTTTGCATAAAAACATGCCTAAGCATTCAATGAAACATAAAAAGGTTAGTTAAACAACAAAAAACAACACAAAAACACAAATGTCTTGACAATTTATTGTTCTTTAAGAAACAGACTAATGAATATACACTCAAATGAAAATGTAAAATGTTTACCCCAGGAGACTCTCAACTTGTCCAACGACATATAACGAAGGAAGTGGCAGTACAGGAATCTAAACTAGCGTCTTTGATTTAGGAGCACAATAATGTAACTAGTATTTGTCACATGTGCCCTAAAATACACAACAAACCATATTATATGACACTCAAAACCTCAAACCATTGTAGATACAAAAATTATCTTCAATTCTGAAGTTAAATTTCATGCCAATCTACTTCTTCTATACATTTAACCATTTTTTTAAGTAGATTTGACAGTAATACTTTAAGAACCATATTTAGGCAATAAAGATGATTTTTTTCAACAATACTGTAATAAGAATTGTTTTAAAAATATTGATCTTTTCTCAAACATCAAACCTTAAACTGGACAATTGACAATGTCTTCCTAACCTCTTCTGGAACACATTTTGAAGTGTAGTATAATTCACGTTTGGTTAGCTAATTTTATAGCCCTAAAAATACAAATTCTAGAAGCTTTCTGAGTAAACCCGATTTCCAGCACACAGGATAGAGTAAATTCAACATACAATACCTGACAGGTAAGTAGTCACCCTTTATGCTTTCGATCTGCATACCTCTGCATATCTTTGCTACCAGTCACTAACCAAAACTACAAAACACACAGTTAATGGGGTTCTCAGCAGTAAATGTGAAGGAAGAGGAAAAATCAGATGCATGGGAAACTAAAAGCAAAATTTAAGGAAAAAAAGTTGGTCTAGACCAAAGATTATAGAAAAACAAGAAAACAAGATTAGAAAACAAGGTGTTTGCACCCAAGAAATGTAAACTCTTTCTTAACTTGTTCACCTAAATACAATTCTTAGTCTTATTATATATTTCCTTTCAACTGAAATGAAGCCTTGGATTTTAAAAACTTGTTATCTTGGCTATTCTGAGAATATCTTTGTTAACTCAAGGCACACCTTCACAACCCAGTCCTACCTTTCTCACTCAGACTTTGTTTTTTGTTTTTGTTTTTGTTTACTGCTGTATGTCAGTTCCTAAAAGTACCGAGCACATAAACTGTCAAATGAATAACAACCTTTGAGGGAGGCATTATTACCATCCTGGCCTTACAAATGAAGAACTGAGGTTGAGTAAGGTTAAATAACTTGCCTAGGGGTTATACCACCAGCCAGAAACAAACCCATGTCTGTCTGACTGCAGAATCATCATTTGTACTCTACCCTCCCTGGGCAGAATACTTTCTTAATGTCTCTCACTGTGTGGCTGTACTGGTAGCAGCTTTCTCTTCCTAGGGGAAGGCTCAATTCAAGCTTCAGATTCTCCAACAACATTTTCCTGGGCATCCTCAACCTCTGACCCTCCACTATGGTCTTCTATAGAATCTCCTTCCTTCCTTCGTGCTGTGTCCTCTTAGAGTTCTATTATTACAGCACTTTGCTTTAGTTTTGTTGTACTTATTCCTTATCTCAACTTCAAACTTCCTGAGAGGCAGAAATTAGGTATCTTCAAATACCTCTGGCACATGGCAGGGCTGAATAAATGTTAGATGTATGAATGAATAATCCCTGCAAATCTAGGAGATAAATAGGAACTCTTTAGCTCAGTTCCCTAACCACAGGCAACCAGAGACTACAGCTTTCCTTTGCTTGGGAGTAGCAAGGGCATGCCTGGAATTCCCTGCCTACTCCACAAAAGAGCATCACTGTGCTATGTTAAGACAGTTTTTCGAGTTTTGAGACATCTAATGAAAGGACAATACAGTTCCAAAATTTTAAGAGCTAAACATAGGCAATAAAATCTATCTCCTAAAAGTGGCCTACTTGGATGGGACACCAGCTTTCAATTTTAAATAGTCTGACCAGATCAATTAAATCACTATTTTCAGTGATTTTTGCTTATTCTAAGTAATTTTATTTTTATATCCGTTGGCTTTAAAGTGTAATTTTATACCCTCGCTTCCCATATAAGGACAAAAACTGCTTGTCTTTTACAAAATGAGAAAGTAAAGTAGAACCTGTGTGTTAGGTAAAAAGGCACTCAGTAAATGTTATTAAGCCACCGTTTGTAAACCTCCTAAAAGCACATGTGGCCTATTTTAAACTAATGAAAACATTTACTAGATGATTTTCATTTAGTTGGTATGAATGCCAGATTCAAATTATATTTAAACTAAAACTGGGTTTTTAAAAAGTTTGGTGTAAGGGGCTGAAATGTCTGCCCATCACCACTGAGTACTACATAAATAGTACCACATTCAATATCCTGGCCCTAAGAATTTATAGCCAATTGCTCAGCTAGGCCATTTTCAAGGTACATGGTTAAGATAAAAAATTTTTATATGCACATCACCCAAGCCACAATCTATAATTTGACTCCTTTTATTAACACTAGTTTCTTTTTTTTATTTATTGGGGTGACATTAGTTAATAAAATTATATAGGTTTCGCTTGTACAATTCTATGATACATCATCGGTATATTGGTTGCATTGTGTGCCCACCACCCAAAGCCAAATCTTCTTCTGTTACCGTATGTTTGACCCCCTTTACTCTTTACTACTCCCCCACCTCCCCTTTCTTGGGGTAATCTCCGTACTACTTACTCTCTGTGCCTATGAGTTTTTGTTTGTTTCTTTTTCTTGTTTGCTCACTTGTTGCTTTATTAACACTAACCTTCTAAGCACTGTCTAGCTCCACCTATGAGTGAGATATAAATAAGATTTATAAATAGGATATTATAAAGGTGGAACAATGGAATTTCCCAACTGGAGCACACTAAACCATGTACTTGCAAACTAATATTTTTCCAAATATTTGCCAGCAATTTTGAAAAAAGTGAAAATCACTTTGCCGAGCAGGAGTTCTAGCTTCTCACTTTGAGGCAGACCCTTCCTACCCTTACTCCCCATCCCTTCCCTCTGCTCTTCCTCTGCCAGGAATACTCTCCTGAGTCATCTCTGCCTATGTCCATTACACCCTTAGAGATCTGGCTCAAGATTCAGCTCCGTGAAAAAATTCTCCATGACTAATCCTGATTTTCACTAACTATTGAACTTCCGAACTTGGCATTCCCTTGGCATTTATATTTAGCTTGCACTACATAATCAGTAACTTGTAAGTTTTGCATTTTTCTATCATTTCCTCAAGTAGAGACCAAATAGAGACACATCACCTCTTACATTCTCTTTTATACCGCCAGCAATAAATGCTTCCTGAACGAATGAATCACCAGTGAAAGAAGGCCAATCGTTTAAAAACTTCTGAAGTGAGTAACTGGCTTTTCAGATCACGTTTACAATTCTCTATCGCCTCCAAAATGCATGAGTCCTTCAAAGAGATGAGATTTAGTTTCTGCCTTAGTCCCATAAATTCACCATGGAAGATCCAGGTTACGGACCACATATATGCTTAAAGTAATAATCCTGGCTATTCAAACATATCTTACGATTTAACATTTCAGACTTCTAAAAGCTTAAAGCCATGCGGTAGCACGCCTGTGAATGGAAGGGAGCTGGCACCCGTCTCTTGCAAAAGGGGCAAAACTAGCTGGCCGTAAATGTTCAAACACGTGAGCCTCCACTGTTAACAGGGCTCATTAACCACACAAACTTGCTGCTTCAGCTTTCTGGCTTCAAGGAAGTGCCACGCTCTCCTTTGGTTATTGTTGAGAGCCAATGATGGGTTAAATTCCCATAAATTAACCGGCGTTTTGGTGGTTTGCCCAAGCATTACCTCTGGCATCGGTGTGGATTTTTTTTTCTTTTTTTTTAAACAGATCTGCCCGCCCTGAGAGCCAGGAATCCGTGAAGAAAGCGCTAACCCGGCACTTCTCCGGAGGCAAAGAGAGACCTCCAGAACGCGAGCCCTCTAAATTCTTAGTGTCAGCTTAGCGTATATGGGCGGGGCTTCAAGCGCGGCTGCATTTTACTAAATCTGAACCGCGTCTTCCAGGGACTGCAAGCCGGCGGCTTCTCAACTTTTCCTGCAAGGAGCATCAGTTTTTCCATACTCAAAGCCCCAGCCCACCGGGCCTAGGAAGAGCTGGGCCACCAGCGGAGGGGACGACGAGGACTCGGAGGGGGAGGGAAGGGGCTCGCTCCGCAAAGGGGGCTGGGTGGCAGGAACAAAGTGAGCGTCGGCCCGCCGCCCGCCCGCCCGCCCGCCCCGCTCACCTTCCAGCAGCACCTCCTTGCCCGCGCGTTTCAGCGCCTGCACGGCCTGGTCGTGGGTGGCCTGGCGCAGGTCGGTGCCGTTCACCGACAGGATGGCGTCGCCCAGCCGCAGTGCCCGGCTCTGGTCGGCAGCCAGCCCCGGGAAGATCTTGGAGATGAGAATCGGCATCCGGTTCTCGCGGCCGCCCTTGATGCTGATGCCCAGGCCGCCCGCCTCCTGCTTCACCACCCGCACCCGGCGCACGGGCGGCGACGCACCCGCTTCGCCCACCGGGCCCCGCGGCGGAACGGGCGGGCTCGGGGGGCCCAGGCCGCGGCTTGGGCTCCCGGGCAGCGAGTCACCGGCGCCTCCGCCGTTGGGGAGGCCGTTGAAGGCGGTCGCCGCCGGCCCCAGAGCGGGCTCGGGCTCAGCCGCCGCGGCGTCACCCGTCAGGCTCAGGCTCTCCCCGCTCAGTTCGGCGACCACCCGGACCCAACGCTCCCTGAGGAGCAGCTCCACCAGCCCCGCTTTGGTGGCCCGCGTCCACACCGCCATGGCCTGTCCCGCTCCCGCCGCCGCAGTCGCCGCAGCTACCCTCATTCCAGTCAGGCAGCCTCAGCGCTTCCCCCTTCCCGCCGGAGGGGGTGGGCCCGGGCCCGCCCCCTGTGGTGATCATTATTCATAGAAGCCACGCCCACCTCCCAGGAGGGGCGGGGACACGAGATGCTTCCGGGAGGTTAAGTTGTTGCGGTCAGTCTAGTCCCTGGCAGCTCACCGGACGTGGGCAGCGTGGGCCACGTTAGGCCAGGCCTTCCTGCCTTTCGCCTCCGACAGACCCCTGCTCCGCCCCCAACTCCTGACTTCTACAGTGAAATTTCACCGCAGCTGCCTGAACACGGAAAGCAATGTCAGCTCCGAGAAGTACTTTGCAAGCCTGCAAAACTGGGCTGCACGTTCATTCTTGCATTCATTGGTTCATTCGCTATTTACCGAGGGCTCTGCTGGTGTGCTCCTTTTGAGGCCAGGAGATGAGCTGAATAAAACGTACCACAGCTGAGAGTTAGCGGTCTAGTTGGGGAGGAAAACAGAGACCCGACCAACGTGGTGTGATACTGTGTGGTTAAGTGGGAGAAAATGCTCTGAGAACAGTTGAAGAAACGTTCAGCTGGGCTTGGGGTCAGCTTCACCGAGGTGACAATGGAAGGTAAGTGGAGCAGAGGTTACCTCATAGGCAAAGGTCCAGAGACAGGATTCCAAGCATTTGTCAGCCTGCTTTGCAATCACCTGTTTACTTGCCTGTAACACTAAACGGGATGTGTCTTCTTCAGCCCTGCAGCCACAATAGGCAGGCCTCTAAGAGATTTGTAAAATGATGGTTACATAGGAAGATGCCATAATTCTGTGAACAGAGCATAGGATCAGTGGAGGCAGAAATGTGTGTGTGAAAAGCCTCATATAATCAAATATCAAAGAGTTATAACTGGGGTTTGCAGATCTTTCTCATCCTGGAGGCCTCAAACTTTTGTTGGTACAAGTGCAGATGGGCAGCTCCAGAAATTCCAGGTAGCCTGCAGAGCCTACAGTAGCTTTTATCTGAAGACACTGGTGATGCAATCCACCTGCTTCTTCCAGCTTCATAGAATCGAAGAACGGAGGAAAGTGAGGTTTAGAAAGCCAACGACTCTGGCCCCAAGTACACAGTAAGGAAGCAGAGAAAAGCAGCCTCCTGGACCAGTACTTAAAAAACAAAACAAACTACATACCTCAGAGCTCAAAATTGAGGGTCCAGAAATCACACTGCTGAGAAACATCTCAGCAAAAACATGAGGTCAAAGTGCCCTCTGCTAGCAGCAAAAGCAAAATCCCCATGTTTTCATTTGGGGGGACAGGGAGGTGGGGGCTGCAAGAGGGAGTGTGCACCAATTCCTGTAAAGGGGTTGTATACCTGCTTGCTCATGAAGTACGTGTTAAAGCTTGCAAGCCACGTCCATGCACTACACTATGAATGCACATTCATGTTGTTGGCAAAACTTCTAAAGAATCTCCTGTACCAGGAGTTAAAACAATAAAAATAGAGATTGGAAAGCATCCAGAACCCAAAGGAAGAGCTGAAAATGAGAAAAGTATCTTACCAAAAAAAATCATTCCAGCAAAATCTGCTTTGCAATTAATGGAGCAGGATTTTCCAAGCTGCAAATGTCAGCAGAAGCTCAACCCTCCAGCCCTCTCCTAAATCAACTGCAATGAGGCCAGCTCACTGTTCCAGCAGGTCCCGATGTGCCCAAGTGCACCTGCAGTCCCAGACATTTCTGGCTTTGCTCCAGGTGAGGCATGAGCCCCCAGAGGCCTGAGTTATGTGAAATTTTTGCTTATTAGAGAGCACTTTGCAGCTGATTCTTGAGAGTACGAGCACTATTTTGAGAACTTTTACAAATGTCATCACCCAGAGGTCGGGCACTTGAGGACACCTTTATTAGCAAAAGGGAAGTGCTGGAAATTCGTCCCCGAAGTATCAAGACCTTCTGGTCCACAGAGTTGAAGGAAGTTATAGATCTTCCAACTAAATAGTAAATGAGGGCACTTACATAAGAGATTAAATTATATAATGAAATATTTAACCCTGGGAGGAGAGTAGGTAATGAAGACTGATATTTGGATTACTTGGGAGATTTATTTTTAAATATATCCATTAAAAAATCCCAAACTATCAAGCTGTTTTTACATCTTCCATCAGAACCTATATTAATTTTCAACAATCATATCACTACTTTCAGATCAGCCAAATTCATCGTCCGTGTCTCCCAATGATGCCTTGCAAATTCCTGCCTGAGTTCATCCTTCCAAACACTCCTGCTCCTTTCAACTACCACCCCTCTACCAAGTTGGATGCTGGATCAGTTATCCTATAAGCTTATTTCTCCCTTTGGCCTCTTTAGTAGCAATTGAACAGCTCTTGCTTTGTTCCTCTGACATCAGGCTGCCTTTGTGGTCGTGACCTTCATGCTTGCTAAGGGCTGCAAGATTCCCACCTACCAAGATCCAAGTTTTCCCCATTTTCCCAAAATTCATTGGGATTTTTTTCTTTGAACAATTCTATATTATGCTTGGCTGGTTTGCCCAAGTAGATTTTAAAATACAGGAGGGTAGGGACCACCCATTGACTTTTTATTCTCTACTATTCCAGAAACATTTCCTTGCAGAAAAGGAACTCATTACACTGTGATTGATTGACATTCAATCCTCCTGGGCTATGGTCATTTCATATAATCCCTCTGAAGGTTACTGGTTGCTTGCAGAGTGAAAATTACCATCTAGGAAATCTCAAGTAGTCAGTTGAAATCTACTTACTGTTGATAATGAAATCTGAAATAAAAAGAGCACACATCTGTTTCCAAGGCTTCTTAGGGACTCTGAGACAAGTTTAGATAATTTCTGAACAGCCATGTTATTTTACCTGCCTCTAAACAAGGAAATGGCTGAGATAATGCCTAATAACCTTTTATTCTTGTCACCTATCAATATGTAATCTCCTCTACTCAAGCTGTTATCTTACTATTTCTCGGAACAAGGCAGGGATCTTTGCTGCTTTAAAAGGAGGGGGTTGGAAGAGCTCTCAGTTCTCTAATTTCCTACATATGACTCAGGCTCTGATTTTGTGCCCTCTCAAAACCCAATGGTCTGTTTTTTCTCTCTCCTTCTTAGATGTTTAATATAGTATGGTAATTAAGAGTACAGGGTTCAACTTGTAGGTGGCTACTTATTAGCTATATGACAATGGCCAAGGGGCTGAGGTGATGGGCTTCAGTTTCTTCTTTGGAAAAATCCAGATGCCTTCTACCTCTGAGGGTGGCTGTGAGGGTTGACTGGGGCAACGCATGCAAAGCACTTAGCAGCACTGTACCTGACACACTGTGAAAAGTTCCATAAAAAGTCCCCGTTGCTGTTATTACTGCTGATGTTTAGCTGCAGCAGCAACAATAAAACCTTTGGTAGAAACTCTGGAGCTCTGAGTCTATACTTTATCTAGGAATGAGTCTGCCATGATACCACTTGATTCCAGGCTTAAAGGGCAAATGGCCAAATTAATTTTGGTGACAAACAGATCTTGTATAAAGCTACACTTTGGCTGAAAGGGAGAACATATTGCCAAGAGTCCGTCAAAGGAAAGAATTAGTGGATCTGGGGCTCAGTCCAAGGCTTGAGTGTTGCGTAATTTCATGAGGAAGGAGGGCCCCAGGCAAAATTGCAGCCCTTAGCAAGCCTGAAGGTCACTACCACAAAGGCGGCCTGATGCCAGAGGAACAAAAGCAAGAGCTGCTCAATTGCTACTAAAGAGGCCAAAGGGAGAAATAAGCTTATAAGATAACTGATCCAACATCCAAACTTTGAACAATTTTCCAGTTAGAAGACAGTGAGATCAAGTGTCCTTTTCAACAGTCAGTATTCCTTTGCCTTCCAGGAGAAATATCCTAAAATATATTTATCTCTCCAGCACAAACAAAAAGTGAAAAAGGGAAAGGTGCATATATCCTTTAGCTGATGCAACCACATTTTAAAATTCATCGCGCCAAGATAAATCACTATCCATCTGAAACCCACGAAAATGGATTAACTATCTCATGCTTTATGACTATGAAAACCTACATCTGCTAACCACATTACTAATGAGAAGCAGCTGGTGACAGTTTTGTTGCTGTGGCTTTCTTTTTAGGAAAATATTAGCAAGGACATACTAAGCAGAAGGTTAGTCTCCTTGAATCCACTTAGTTATGGAAAATTACCAGTGTTTTTTATTGACAACCAAGGAAATAACAATCTGTCATGAAACTCAAACAGTCCCAAAATCAAAATCTTTCCCCCAATATCAGTTCTAACAGAATTTCCGGTACCTCCTAAGATTTGCAGTCTTATAGTCAGCTTCAACTCTCATTTTTCATATACTGTTGAACACCAAATCACGTTTATTGATGCATATGGTATTTCTAGGCCTCTGTCCCACAGCTTTAACTCCCTCCTGAGCTGGGTAATGGAAGAGCCCACTGTGGGTGATCACGGACCCCTTTGGGAATCAGCTGCATGCTGTGGACATGCCTCCGACAAATGAGGACTTGTACAAAGTTCATCATTCAAACTTTGGAGCTCACAAAAAGGACACTTGCATGGGCCAAACTGTTTCCCCTCAAAACTTAGAGTACCCACAGTACCTCAGAAGGTACCTACATTTGGAGAATCTTTAAAGGTAATCAAGTTACAGTAAAATCATTAGGGTAGGCCCTAATCCAACAGACCGGCCTCCTTATGAGATTAGGACACAAGTCACAAATAGGGAAGACCATGTGAAGACACCAGAAGAGGGCTCTCTACATGACCAGCAGAGGCCTTAGAAGAAACCAAAGTTGCTAATACCTTGACCTTAGACTTCTACCCTCAAGAAGTTTGAGAAAATACATTTATTATTTAAATTTATTATTTAAGGCAGCTCTAGCAAACTAATACAGACGCCAAGTCAAGAATCCACACAACCTGTTTTCTGTCTTCCTGCCAGTCTCTTCTGTCCCTTATTTACTTAAAATGGGCATTTGTACTGTGCTACTCCTTTGAATCTGAGTGCTTCACAACTATGT